TTGTGAAATTTTGCGTATGTTAACAGTTCAGCTTATAAGGCATATTAATAATAAATCCCTCAATTGGAGATTTCACTTGATTTTTTGTTAAACTTGTTAACATTAGTTAATGTATTAAGTAGTGCTGGGCGGTATACCGAATACCGGTGTTTATTTTTGTTATGATATGAATTTTTGAAATACCGCAATACCGGTGTATGTCGCTTAAACAACGTTCGGAACGCGACTCTGTTTGAAAGGGGTCCCTTTTCACTGTTGCACTGTGGTGAGGGAACAGCTGTATGTTACTAAGCGTGAAAGTTCAGAAACTGAAGCTGTAGATAGCCAAAACAACCGCATAGCCGCTCTTTAGTGTAGATGCATGTTGATTTTATCAGACGATTATAAATGAGAGTGACTCCTGGTTAACATGTATTAAAAGGGGTCGTGTTTAGTCACTATTTAGTGTGGTATTTTGACAATATTCACTCATCATGACAGTAAAATAGGGCATTCTAAGTCAATATACTGCAGTATTTCCTCTCTCAATCAGTAGAAAATATGGTTAACACCCGGTCATGCATGGAAAAAAAAATACCGTCATGTACCGTGAAACCGGTATAATTTTGAAAAATACCGTGATATAAATTTTTGGTCATACCGCCCAGCACTGGTATTAAGTGTCATGAACTGACAGTGACCAATACTTTTACAACATTTAGCTATTCATATTCATCTTGTTTAATGTGAACAGTTAAGTTTGGGTTTGGTAAGATTTTTTTAATGTTTTTTTTTTTTTGATAGAACTCTCTTCTGCTCACCAAGGCTTCATTTATTTGATCAAAAATACAGTAAAAACTGTAAATTTGTGAAATGTTATTACAATTTAAAATAACTATTTCCTATTTTAGTATATTTTAAAATATAATTTATTCCTGTAATCCAAAGCCGGGTTTTCAGCATCGTTACTCCAGTCTTCAGTGTCACATGATCCTTCAGAAATCATTTTAATATGTTGATTCAGTGCTCAAAAAACATTTATTATATTTATTATATCAATGTTAAAAACAGTTACGCCGCTCAATGTTTTTGTGGAAACTTTGATAATATAATATTAACAATACAATACAATTTTTTTGAGATTCTGATGAATAGAACGTTTAAAAGAACAACATATATTTTGTAACATTATAAATGCCTTTAACGTCACATTTGATCAATTTAATGCATCCTTGCTGAATAAAATTAATCTTACATTTTATTTATTTATTTTAAGAATAAAGATTAATACAATTATGAATCTCAATTCTTAAAATAAATAAATAAAAATCGTACCAAAAACGTTATCATTTATAATGCATTGCTACACTCTAAAAAATGCTGGGTTGTTTCAACCCAACTTTGGGTCAAATATGGACTAACCTAACCGTTGGGTTACATTTTTACATTAAATTTTTAACCCAAAAGTTGGGTTAGTCCATATTTGACCCAAAGTTGGGTTGAAACAACCCAGCATTTTTTAGAGTGTACACTATTGACAAATAAATATGGACCATTTTTTCACACAAAATGTCATTGTAAGTACAGTTTTATAACTTGCATGCATTTTGTGTACTGCTAATTAAGTTCGTAAATTGATTTGACACACGACTACATTTCCCATCATTCTCTGTTGCAGAATGAGAATATTATATGAAATTGACCAGCAAGTGCATTTTATTCGGACCAAAAAACCATCATAATTTTAACTTCTAAACTCTTCTACATGAAGTTCCCAGGAGGACTGCAGCACTGATCCACAGAGAGTCACTTTGGAGGGATTAGTTGCGTTTGACCTGTAGCTTCACTCGCCTTCAGTTGCAGACAGCTGTGGCTGTAGGAGCCGAGTGTTTGACCCATCATCCTCAGGCTCAGCTGGGGTCAGGCCTGAGCTCTGCAGGGCTCGTTCCTCATCCTCATCACACGAGGAGCATCTCTGTGTGGACTCTGAGCCGCACTGGGGGCTGTCTAAGATTGCGCCGGTCTGAACGAGAGGCGCATTAGGTGCACATCCCACATCTGCCTGGCTGCTTCCCAGTGATGGATTTACCAATCTGGCAAAAATATGCAAAAAAAATAAAAAATGCAGATGAGATACAAGAATTGTATCTCATCTCAATTGATTGATCAATCAATCAATTTCATACAACTCTGAATAAAATCAATCAATCACAAGCAAAGCGTTTATACTTTAGAATAGAGAGTCTCAGTCTATGGAAAATGAGAAAATGTAACATAAAAGTCAACTATCATGTTACTTTCTAAAAAAGCAGCAAAATACACAATAATCACACAATAATGTAATTTTCACCAATAATTCTGTTAATAAACTGGAACTAAAATAATACACGTGGTACCGTTCAAAAGTTTGTGGTCAGTAAGAAATTAATTACCATTTTATGCAACAGGGATACATTTAAATAGCCCAAAAGTGACAGTAAAGACATTTATTGTTAAAAAAAAATATATATTTCAAATAAATGATGTTCTTTTGAATTTTCTATTCATTAAACAATCCTGAAAAAAAAAATGTATCAAGGTTTTCATAAAAATATTAAACCGTTTTTAACATTGATAATAATCATAAATGTTTCTTGAGCACCAAATCAGCATATTAGAATGATTTCTGAAGGATCATGTGACACTGAAGACTGGAGTAATGATGCTGAAAATTCAGCTTTGCATCACAGGAATAAATTACATCTTAAAAAATATTCATAATTTAATATCATTAATTGATGAATATTAATTGAATTAATTAACTGAAATAATATCATTAATATCATATAATTTAAACTGTAATAATTCACAATATTACTTTTTTTACTGTACTTTTGATTTAATACGCACATCTTTGGTAAGCATAAGTGACTTATTTAAAAAAACTCACCAATATTTTGAACAGTAATGTTACAAATCGACTGAATTTTGTCAGCAATTGTAAATGAATCTGCTGAATTTTTTCAATTCAATTCAAGTTTATTTGTATTGCGCTTTCCACGATACAAATCGTTGCAAAGCAGCTTTACAGAAAATTAAGTTTCTACAATATATTAAGTAGTAGCTTGTCGGTGCTGACTATGTCAAATTGATGTACATAAGGCAGAAATTAGGGCTGCACGATTACGACAAAAATCATAATTGTCGATTATTCCCTTGAAATTGTAATTGCGATTATTAATTACGATTATCACAATTTACATTGAATGATGTTTATACCATTGTTTGAAGCAACTGCATGCCGTATTTTTATATGAAAATAAACGAGCTGAAAACACTAACTGAAAAACCTTTAGTGCTTTTCTATAGAATTAAGCCTCAAATGTCAACTATACATCGGATTGGTTTCTTCTTTAAATTATAAAAAAAGTTAAAATATGAATGGTATTATAATGTTATACTAAAACTAAAACAATGGAAAAACCCTTAAGATAACATGTAGAAAGAAAAAAACATATCTTAAGTGTGCAGAATAACATACGTGGACTTTGAACGACTGATTAATTGCCGCTTTGAACGATTACGTAATTGTGGCATCCATAATTGTAATCGCGATTAGAAATTCGATTAATTGTGCAGCCCTAGCAGAAATTTACGGTAAAAATTCTGTTAATGACGCAATCAAACAGACGATGAACACTATTAAGAGCAATGATTATAATTTGATCTAGATCTGCCAGACTAAAGATCTAAACTTGATCCTTTAACTTCATTTGAATGTGAATGTGTCTGGCTGAAGGACCCACCCTTCATTGAGACCGTTGTGAGAGTGAAAGGGACGAGTCTCTCGGCCGCGGCTCTGGCTCCAGGTGTCATCGCAGCACAGAGACGGGATCAGGTGCACAGGACCTGGAAAACAAAGCGCACATGAATCTAATGCCATGACAATCATCCTTCCTGTGATACTCCAGAACTGTCTGTGATTAATACAATGATCACCTGACAGATAATTACTGGCTAATTGACCTGTTTGGACTCGTCCAGGAGCTCCAGAGAGAACGCACAAATCCTCAACACACACTAAGACTTCTGAAAGGTGTGTGAATGTGAAACTCACCGCAGGTCTGTCCCGATCCGTGACGACAGTGACGACAAGGCCGCTGGGAAAACTCCAGAGCTCTCCGATCCAGACAAGACAACTCGGACCCCACATAAGGACCCTCATGGGACCTCAAGGAAACTGAGACAATGACACACGAAACAACAGGAAACGACTGTTATGAAGATTCATTATTGTATTATTAGACAAAGTTTAAAATATAATATTAAACTACTTTTTTACACCCTAAATCATGGTAAAATCTATGGAAGCCCGTTTCCGCCACTGAATAAAAAATAAAAGAGGTAATTGCGACTTTTTATATCACAATTCTGACTTTTTTTCTCAGAACTGCGTGATATAAACTCGCAATTGCGAGTTAAAAAGTCATAATTAAGAGATATAAACTCGCAATTCTGAGAAATAGTCAGAATTGCGTGATATAAATTCGCAATTGTGAGAAATAAAGTCAGAACTGCGAGATATAAACTCACAATTCTGACTTTTTTTCTCGCAATTGCGAGTTTATATCTCACAATTCTGAGAACATATCAGTCTTTTTTTCCCCCCTCAAAATTGGACTTTAACTCGCAATTGTGAGTTTATATCACGCAATTCTGACTTT